GGCTCCTGGACCTATCTGGCACCATGGTAACGCTTTTTACAGGGCCCACTTTTACACGTGGCATTTTCTGACCTGTTATCAGAAGAACACACATCAGGAGGGGCCAAGGAGTTCTCCAGGAGCACAGGGCTGACCGCTCCTTTTCCAGTTTAAATCTTTATCATAAAGGTTGTGTTGTACTATCGTTATTTTGAGACGAGGTCTCACCGTGGTTGGCCTTGAACTCGGATCCTCCTGAGTGCTGGAACTAAAGGCACACACCACTACACCTATTGCTTTGTGCCACCTACTGATAGCTGGGTGCATAGTGCAGGCATCTAATTCTACCACTCCAGAGGTGGAGGTAGTTAGAGCAAGATTTTAAGGCTAGCTTGGGCTACACAGTGAGTTCAGGGACAACCTGTACAATATAACAAAGAGGCTGTCTCAAACAAAAAACAGAATTTGGGAGGGTGCCTCACATTTGTAACTCCAACACTTAGGAAGCTGAGGCAGGAGAATTGCCATGAATTTGAGTCCAACTTTTGTTACATAATGAGTTACAGGCCAGCCTGGGCTATACAAAAATATGTTGTCTCAAAAATCAAATCAAATTAAACCAAGCCAAAATTTTCAGGTTTAATTTGGCTCACAGTTCAAGGGTACAGACCATCAGAGTAGGGGAGTCATGGCGTCCAGAACCATGGCTGACCGCAGAGACAGGCATTTGACGGCTCTTTGTCAGGTTCTGTTCCAGTTACTGAGGACGCGGCAGTAGCCATGTAGGAAGCCAGCCACACGGTTACAAACGACAGAAGCAACAGCTGAAGGGGACACGGAATGGCATGAGTTGCCTTCTCAGGTGAGCAATGGTCTCTGAGGTTTCTGTTGTACAGATGTGGAGAGAGCTGACCCCAGGATGACCAGTGTGGTGCTGCCTGTGGAAAGAGTGCCCAGGGCAAAGCCTTGTCGTGAGGTTCTGGTTAAATGTCAATAAATGTCAGCGGTCAACTAAGAAGAAAGTGAGGACCTGTCAGCTGGGCAGGACACTGGGAGGCAGTCCAGAGCTGGGCACACTAGGAGGCAGTCCAGAGCTGGGCACACTAGGAGGCAGTCCAGAGCTGGGCACACTGGGAGGCAGTCCAGAGCTGGGCAGGACACTGGGAGGCAGTCCAGAGCTGGGCACACTGGGAGGCAGTCCAGAGAGCTCTGACGTCCGTCTGAAAGATCTGAACATGCAGCTCATTGTTTATGGGGGGCAATATTCCTTTGGAGACGGCTAACGGCCCAAAATAGCCTTGGCTATCCTGAAACTCACCCTGTAGCCCAAAGTAGCCTTGGACTAATGGCAATCCTCCTGCCTCTGCCTCCCCAGTCCTGGGATTACAGACTTAGTTAGCATAAAGGTCAACTTCCACTTGATTCAACAGAGAATCATGCTACACTGTTAAGTCCCAAGGCTTTGATTCTGTGGTCTCTAGAAAATAAAATACACACGAGAGAGAGAGAGAGAGAGAGAGAGAGAGAGAGAGAGAGAATGCTTCCCCTATATTCTCTGGAGGAATCCAGAGGATACTCTCTTCAAAGGCTTTTAAAGACAAAGACCATTGTGGGAACTGGAGACAGGCCCAGTAGTTGGAAGCACTGCTGTTGTTATAAGGACCTGGGTTCAGTTCTACATCTGCAGTGAGGTTCAGGACAGCCAGGGTATGTAGGGAGACCCTGCCTCAAAAGCCAAACCAAACCAAACAAACAAAAAAACTAGCATGAGAGATTAGTAACTTCAGCTGGTCCTGGTAGTATAGACCTGTACACCTAGCTACTGAAGAGATGCAGAAAATGGCAAATTTGAGGCCTGTTTGGGCTCAGTGAGATCAGGGTAAGTTAGTGAGACATTATCTCAAAAAGTAAGAAGAGGACTGGGGATATAGGTCAGAGGTAGAGTCTTTGTCTAGGAAGCACATGGCTCTGGATTCAATTTTTAGTAACACAGACACACACACATCAAAACACAAAAATCTCTAACTTCATGAAGTGTCCATGATGACATGCAAGGGCTTTTTTCAGTATTACTAATATTTAATGTTAGTAAGGTTAGAAAGGTTAGAGGTGGCCAATGAAAGAACTTCTATGAGGCAGAGGCTTGTACTGTAAGATGCTACAGGTTTCAATTGTGGAAACACAAAGTATCCATTGAGCAGACAGCATTAGGGACCTGGCTCCATGCCAATGAGGAGGCGGCGGAGGCAGCGGCTTTCACAAGACTGATCCCAAACTTCCCCTTTAAGTGGTTTGGTGCCACACATAAGTTCCTCACGTTTGCCAGTCTTTCACATGCCTGTCTACATCTTTAGGATGCCATTATTTTTGTTTTTTTTTTGTTTGTTTGTTTTTTGTCCCTTACTTCCCCTGGCTCCTGAACTTCGCATGTGGCATTCCCTGATCAAATCACGCATTCCTGTAACGTCTGTAGGTCTTCTTTTCAGAGCTATGTCCCTCTGAATCCACTTTACTGCTAATAGGAGAGGCTAGACCTTAGGGCCAGAAACCTGGATTTGGTCTGAGATCACTCAATGAACAGTCTTACTGTCCCCGCTGCTGCAGGGAACGACGGCCCATGGTAAAGTTCACTGCTCACGCGCAGTCTCTCTTTTGGTAACTCGCTAAGCAGTACCTAGTCAGAAGGATGGTAATGAAAGCAGGACGCCAGAAAACTGTTATTATACCAAGAAGGGCATGCCAAGACTCCAGGAAATAAACGTTAAGTTAATTTGTATGTCCAACTTTGCCCTATCTTCTCTGGAAGTATCCAGAGGATACTCTCTTTAAAGGCTTTTTAAAACAAAGACCATTATTGGGACTGGAGAGATGGCTCAGCACTGGGATGGCTGGCTGCTCATGCACAGAACCTGAGTTCAGTTTCCAGTACCTACATGGTGGCTCCCAGCTATCTCTAACTCCTGTTCCTGATGCAATGCCCTCTTCCGGCCTCCAGGGGCACTGGGCACACACATGGTTTGTATACATATATGAAAACAAATATTTATAAAAATAAAATGCCATTTTTTAAAGACCCCGATGGCTGTTATAGTAAAAGATGTTCACTATGAAACTGGTTTCTTAAATTCAACTGAGTAGTGGGGGAGACAGAGCAGTGGGAGGCAAGGACTAAACACCCATAAACAGGACGCTATTCTGACAGGTTTTCTCAGATTTGATAGTAAATGACTCACATAGTGTTACAGCAGCAACAAAAAGTTCACAAATGTCTAGGTTTAACCAATAAATTATGATAACTTTTGTAGCTAGGCCTGGTGCTCCTGAACTTTGAAACACAGGAGAGCTTGATTATGAAGGAAATGATGGTTCAGAATGCTCTGGACATGTTTCTCAAGGGTTCTTCAGAAATTTAAGGCTTTGGACAAGAGAGAGAGAGATCCATGAGTTGGCTGAGCAACCCCAGTTGCAAATGCTGACACAAACATTAGCAACAACAAATTCATGTAAAATGGAGAAAACACCACTGAGTTACTGATATACTAGAAGAATATTGATTAAAATACAACAATAAAGGTCTACATGTTAGTAAGATCTGAGAGAGGAACTGAGATACGACTCAGAGGTTAAGAGAAAAAACACTTGTTGCTCTTGCAGAGGACCAGGCTTTGATTTTCAATACCCACATTATGGTGCAAATGCTTGCAATCCAGTTCCAGAGGATCTGATACCCTCTTCTGACACATAAGGGCACCAAACACATATGGTGCACATGTATAATTCCAGATAAAATATATAAAATGAATAAACCTAATAAAATTAAAGAAAAAAACATCAGACATACTTTCAGATAGAGAATGAGAAAGAATCCACAATTCAAGAAAACGTACCACCTCACTATGAAGAAATGGAAATTAAGACTACAGGATAAGTAAGTTAAAAGTATCTGAACATAGCTGGGCAGTGGTGGCGCACGCCTTTAATCCCAGCATTCAGGAGACAGAGGCAGGCGGATCTCTGGGAGTTCAAAGTCAGCCTGGTCTACAGAGGGAGTTCCAGGACAGGCTCCAAAGTTACCCAAAGAAACCCTGTCTCGAAAAACCAAAAAGGGAAAAAAAATATTTGAACATGGTTCAAGATGGAAATGTCTCACAGCAGCACTGCAGCCCCGTGGACAGGGAGGACAGAGACAAACACCTCACAGCAGCCCCGTGGACAGTGAGGACAAACACCTCACAGCAGCCCCGTGGACAGTGAGGACAGAGACAAACACCTCACAGCAGCCCCGTGGACAGTGAGGACAGAGACAAACACCTCACAGCAGCACTGGAGCCCTAGGACAGAGACAAACACCTCACAGCAGCACTGGAGCCCTAGGACAGAGACAAACACCTCACAGCAGCCCCGTGGACAGTGAGGACAGAGACAAGCACCTCACAACAGCCCCGTGGACAGTGAGGACAGAGACAAACACCTCACAGCAGCCCCGTGGACAGGGAGGACAGAGACAAACACCTTACAGCAGCCCCGTGGACAGTGAGGACAGAGACAAAGGCAGAGACAAACTAGGATCTGTGACTTTCTGGAGGAAGAAAGCTTTTCCGATAACTCACTACTTCCTGTCTGCTCTAGTTGTTTCTTAAAAAGACTTTCAGAAGCATTTCCTCAAAGACCCAAGTTTATATGGCGCCACCTTTAGGAGGTAGGACACCTCTCTAAACTGCAGTGCCCCATACCTCTGCCTTTGGAAGGGCTGCAGTAACACAATGAAGGTCAGACCTGGGAGAGTATGGCCCAGTGACAGAGTACCTACCCAGCATACACAAAACACACAAGGCCTGGATTCCGTCCCTCACTGCACGCAGACCTCTTTAATGCAGTCCGTAGGAAGGCAGAGGCAGGCGGATCCCTGTGTGTTGAAGTCAGTCTAGTCTACAGATCGAGTTCTAGACAGCCAAGGCTACACAAAGAAACCCTTTCTCAAAAAAACCAAAAAAAAAAAGAAAGAAAAAATAACATACACAAAACATCGAAGAGATTTATTGTATGTTTGTGTTTGTTTAATTATATCGTGATCGTTAGCACAGTATCTACCCTGAAAATTCTAGTCAGGTAAAAACGACGTGATGATGTTTGAGGATGACTCCAGGGCAATAGTAACGTTGAGGCTTTTGACTTATCCCGTGGAAAGAGAAGACACTGAGAACCAGTTGAGAAGGTCAGAGTCGCAGCATAGGTTGTAGCTGCTGGCAGGGCCACATCCTAGTCTGATGCGGCCTTCAACCATCTTTTCTCAGTCACGCGTCCGCGACGCTATGAGTCCTATGAGTCGGGCATAGACTGGCTGCGGGTGACGCTCCGGGTCTTCAGCTGTGACTGCGCAATGTCAGCAAGTGCGCTCTGGATCTTTTCCAGAAGCATGTCTCCTCGGTAAACAACGTCCTCCAGACAGGTAGCAGCTTCGTGATTTTCTTCTTCCAGCTTATATAAGCTAGCAGCCTTTGTAAGACATGAATTTTATTATACTCAGAGATGGATGGACAGAAACTAAAGCACAAGTATTTATTTTAAAATCAGAATGGTTTTCCAATCACTGCCTTTTCTTTTAGTAACAGGTTTTCTAAATATCAACTTAATTTTTTCTCCATGAGTTATTAGAAGGCTAATTTTCAATCAGAATATATAGGTGTGTAAATACATACATGCCCTGTTTTTACACGCTTGTAGGCATTGTTTTGTTCCACACTCTGAATGCCTATCTCCTCTCTCTCTTCTGGTCACACAAGGTGAGGGGCACAGGAGACTTCTGCCTGAGGTGAAACTGCTCAGTGTTGATACACACAGCATCCGATCTTTGTGAATTTTTTTTTCTTGGTTTTCCGAGGCAGGGTTTCTCTGTGTATCTTTGGCTGTCCTAGAACTCACTCTGTAGACCAGGCTGGTCTTGAACTCACAGAGACCAGCCTGCCTCTGCCTCCCGAGTACTGGGATTAAAGGCGTGTACCACCATATCTGGCATGACCTGATGATCTTTTAAGTCAAAATTAGACAACTATTCGGTGCCATCTTCCAGAGGCTGTGCTAGCTCCCATTTATCAAGTGTTTGCCTACTGTGTGAGACCCTGGATCTAACCACAAAACAAAATAAACAAACAAAACCCAAAATACCTCCCACTTAAAATTTAATCTTAAATTGAATGTCATAACCTTCTTCAATTCAAAGTTCTCCACCACCGGTTATTTTATAAAGAAAAGAGTTTTTACCTGTAAAGCAGCTGTTGACTCTTCACTGGGTAAGGAATCTATCAAAACGTCAATATCTTTTGCTGTTCGTGCAATCAGTGCTGCAAAAAGTTGGGCATACTCTGAAGAAAAAAATTAAGTTAAATTATCAAAATCTTACATTTCCATAAGCAGAAATTATAAATTAATAAAACTAGAAAAGCTCAGCTAACTTTCCAATATAAGAATTCGAATGGTAAAAGCACAATTTTAGAATACCAATACTACTCACACACTCAATATTAATTCATACTGGGAATTAGCCTAACAGGTCATTTCCTTTACTAGGACAATGTTTTTGTGCCTTGAGCAAAGAAATCCACTAATGAGACACTTTTCTTACTAAGGTCACACGGGCAAATTCAGCTCAGTTCGTACAACTTTTCCCCTAAGGGAGCAACTTTTATTGGACGTGACCAGAATTATGAGGCATATGAATTGAGCAGATAAACTCATTCCTTGGCCATCTCTGAGACAACTTTGCAGACAAGGCACTTGCCCCCAAGTCTAAGGACCCGAGTCTGATCCCCAGAACCCACAGGACGGATGGAGAGAACAGCTCCAGATCCTTTGACCTCTTGTATGCATGCTGCACCAGGCACACCCACAAATATACCACAGAATTAAATGTAAAAAAAAGAATCATTTACGGCAAAACTTACAGTAATATACTCCAACCACAGTCACGTTTTTACAAAGACACTATAACCTGTAGAAGAAACGTCACCCCTACTCAGAAGAGCTCACCTTCCGTGGGATTGGCTGGCTGGTCTTTGTTGATGGCTGTCTGGATGTTACTGAAAGAGGCGGGAGGACCACACTGCTGTAACACGCCAATGGCATTACAGAACTGATCTGCAAGCTTGAAAAAAAGAAAAAGTCAAGGTTACAAAAGGTTGTCAGCTTTAAGGGTGCTGAGACATGGCAACAATTTCTTCCTAGCAATGATCTCTAAGCAAACTCCTCACAAAAGGGTATTTTTATATAAAATGAGCACATTATTACTAACAACGATAGAGTTTGGATATAAAATGAGCCAGTTATTACTAACAATGATAGAGTTTGGATATAAAATGAGCCAGTTACCAGCAATCTACATCTATCTTGGATTAAATGGTTTAATCATACAAAGAAACTTAAGCTTGGTATCAGTCTAGGTGAAATTAAATTAAATGTCTCAATCTAGCCTAAAGAACTGATACAGGAGAAAGTTGGAGACTGAGCCATAAGTGATTGTTTTCTTCTCTCCGAGTGTTTCTGGAGACTGAGCTCCCAAGAAAAGGCCGCTCACAGATAAAACCAGATATCCATCCCAGGAGACGTACAGATTGCAAAAGAGAAACAGACACTAAATGGTTAAGAAACAGATACTAAATAAAATGCTTCTGCAGAGAACCTGGGTTCAATTTCCAGAATCCACAGCTCACAACTGTAACTCTGACTCCAGGGGATTTACCCTCTTCTGGTCTGTAGGGGCACCAGGCACCCATGGGTACAAAGGCGCATGTGCAGCAGAAACACATAAAAAACACGCACACACACAAAACAAAGACGCTTTCAAATCATAACTCAATGCTAATTTTAGTTTACTTATGTGTATGAATGTTTTATTTGTATATATGTATGTGCATATATTTACGTAGAGGTGTGTGTGTGTGTGTGTGTGTGTGTGTGTGTGTGTACCATAAGGTACGCACACAGAGTGCCCACAGAGGCCATCAGATCCTCTGGGACTGGAGGTTTAGATGGTCATGAACTACCATGTGGGTGCTGGGAGTCAAGAAACGCAGACTTAACTGCTGAGCCATTTTTCTAGCCCCATATGCTAATATTTAAAAGCCAAAACCAAAACCAAACAAAACATAGGGGTTAGGTAAATATTATGCAAGCCCGAGGACCCGAATTTGGATTCCCGCACCAACATCAGAGACCCTGCAGTTACACTGATCATCTGGTCTATTGAAAACATGAGGTTTTGGTTCAGTGAGAGGTTTGCTCAAAACATAAGGAGAAAGATACATAAGCACGCACAGTAAGTGCACCCGCACACACCCGTGCATGCTTCAACCACACAGAGAAATACTGAGTTCAGTTGGCAGAGCATTTACACAGCACACATGAAGCCCTGGGTTTGATCCACAGCACTGCTTGATCCCAGAGGTAGGAGGATGAGAATCTCAAGGATAACCTCAGAGTCACGAGTGTCTGAGGACAACCTGGGCTACAGGAGACCCTGTCTCAATAAAACAAACAAACAAAAAACAAAAAAACAAACAAACAGAAGCCGAGTGGTGGTGGCACACGCCTTTAATCCCAGCACTTGGGAGGCAGAGGCTGGTAGATCTCTAAATTCGAGAACAGCCTGGTCTACAAAGCAAATTACAGGATAGTAAGGGCTACATAGAGAAAACTCTAAGTTTACAAAAACAAAAAACTGCCAGGCAGTGGTGGCGCACGCCTTTAATCCCAGTACTCGGGAGGCAGAGGCAGGCGGATCTTTGTGAGTCTGAGGCCAGCCTGGTCTACAAGAGCTAGTTCCAGGACAGACTCCAAAAGCTACAGAGAAACCCTGTCTTGAAAAAACAAAACAAAAAACCAAAAAAACAAAACAAAACTACAATTATGATTCTTTTTTATATAAGTATTGAGATATGCCAATACTTATTTCAAGCAAAAATAAGTACTTTTAGGTCTGGAGAGATGGCTCAGAGGTTAAGTGCACTGGCTGCTCTTCCAGAGGTCCAGCCTGAGTTCAATTCCCAGCAACCACATGATCTAGCTCAGCTGGTAGACTGCCTGCTTGGCATACATGAAGCCTTGAACTGGATCCCCAGCACTGAACAGAAAACTGGGAGTGACAACACACCCATGTAATTGTGGTAACAGCACATCCATGTAATTCTGGTACTCAGACGGGAAGGAGAACAGACGTTCAAGGTCTCAACTACACAGGACATACCAGGCCAGTCCATACTATATGAAAAAAAATTTTACTGTAAGTTACCACAACTATAATTCTTCAAGACTCAAACTGTAATCTTGTTGTTCAATGTGTGTTTGTTGTTGGGGCATGGGATGCACGCCTTTGCTCCTAGCACATGGGTGCCAGAGGCAGGCAGATCTCTGTGAGTTTAAGGCCAGTCTGGACTACGTGGAGTTCTAAGCCAGTCAGAGTTACATAAGATGACTCTTCCTCAAAAAAAAAAAAAAAAAGTATTCAAGTAATTTGAAAGTTTCCATTTACACCATCTGCAAACCAAACACATGTATACCCTCCTCCATCTTCTCACTAATCTTGATCCCTGAGCCTCAGTTACTAGTTCTAGTCAGGAAATAGCATTTCTATTGTTTTGCTATCATTATTTCAGTGACAAAAATTTGAGCTGTCATTGAGAAGCTAGCCTGGCTGACTTCATTTGTAAGTTGCAGCATTCCATTTTGCAGCACTGGTATAAGACTTGGAAAACCCAACGCAACGTGTTCAGTATAGCGGTGTTCTGCCCTGCAAATGCTTTCAAGACCCACTGTTCAACTGTAGAAAAAGTAGTTACTGAAACCCAACCCCATGACAAGTACTGCATATACATATTACTCTGTAATATAAATATTACAGAGATGAACGTGACAGAGCTGTACTCGGGCATTTCCAGACGGCAGAACAGTGTTAACATCGCTCTAGGCCCCCATCTACTTTAGCGCTTACGAGCTGAAAACAGTCCACTCCAACTCCCTAGGCAGCTCCTGCGTTTCATCATCTAAAGTCTCTGGAGTTTATGACATCTCTCTAAGGTCCTCGAGGAATAGCTCTCTCTAAACACATTGCCTACAGAAACAGTAGGCATCCATGTTAGCCAAACTATCAGTGTTCCTAAGATGAGTCAAGACCACGTGTATCCTCACCATCCTAACTACAGGACCTACACGAAGATGCAATTTTTTTTTTTTTCTGAGATAAGCTCCTACACTGCGTTATTAAGATTTGTAAAATCTCAAAGGAGTACTCTTTTGGGAAAGGCTGGCAGACAGCGCAGGGAAATCTTTGCAAAGAAGAATTCAGCCTGTGAATTCATCAACATTTAGGGATAGCCCCTCAACTTAAAAACTACTTTATTTGCAGAGTAGGCAGTTTTCCTGTAAGTAGATTCACAATCTCAAAGTCCTCTCAAAGTGATGTATTACCAAGAAGCCAAGTTATAACTTCCTATAAGGAAAACACTGACCAGGGACTAGGGTTGTTTTTTTCCAGTACACAGACACCCCACAGGCACAGAACAACACTGAGATTTTAACGACCAATGGAAAACCCTTGCACTCTTAATGGAATAAGTAGAAGTATCTTTTATTTTTTATTTATTGAGTTAGGGTCCCTCTCTCTACACAGCTCTGGCTGTCCTGGAACTGGCTTTGAGGCTGTCAGTCTCAAACTCAGATTTGCCTGCCTCTGCCTCCTGAGAGTGGGGGTTAGAGGGCTAGGAGGTAGTCAGAAGTATTGTTTATCTTGTGTGTAGTTACCACGTGTGCATAGTATGCAAGAATAACAGCCAGAAGGGACAAAGTTAGCGGAGCTCAGCTGGTCCAGACCCCTGGGACCTGAGCACACTCATTCCCCACTACCTAGCCACTCATCTTGAGTCCCCTCCCCAGGACAGGCCACCTGATCCCCTCAGGACATACCTCCTGGTCTCCCCAGGACAGGCCACCAGGTCCTCCGCAGGGCAGGCCACCGGGTCCCCTCCCCAGGACAGACCACCGGGTCCCCTCCCCAGGACAGACCACCGGGTCCCTTCGGCAGGACAGACCACCGGGTCCCCTCCCCAGAACAGGCCTCCATGTCCTCCCCAGGACAGACCACCGAGTCCCCTCCCCAGAACAGGCCTCCATGTCCTCCCCAGGACAGACCACCGGGTCCCCTCCCCAGAACAGGCCTCCATGTCCTTCCCAGGACAGACCACCGGGTCCCCTCCCCAGGACAGGCCTCCATGTCCTCCCCAGGACAGACCACCGGGTCCCCTCCCCAGGACAGGCCGCGGGCCGTCGCTCAGACCCCGCCCGCGGCCTCCCGAGGCCCGGCCGCCCGACGCATCTTCCTGGCGCCCTTCCTGCTCGCCCCCGCCCGGCCGCCGTCCTCCAGTCTGGGAGAGGGAGGCCGACTGGAGCCGGGAACCCTCACCGAGTTCACGGCGTCTTGCAGCTGCGTGAGCCGATCCGCCATATTGCCGAGGACGCACAGACGCCAAAGCACTCAGCTCGGCCGCGATTGGGCAATTTATGGAGGGTCTGGGCCAATCACAGGGCTCCCTTTCTGGGGGCGTGGCACGCTGTCGGGGAGGGGCGGGGCTTTCTGCGGACACTGGTGTGGGCGGTGCCCGGGAGGGCGGATCCGCGTCCACACTGCGCCGAGACCGCCCCAGGGATGCCAGGGATGGCTGTTTCTTCCCACGCTGCGCTGAGACCGCCCTAGAGATCGCTGCTTCCTTGGTCCTGTGTGTTTGCTCCGTTTGATGCGGTCCTGGCTGGCCTGGAACGTGTTTTGTTTGTGTGCGATTTTGGTTTGTTTGGGGGTTTTGTTTTTTTCTTTTTGCATTATCTGGAATACTTGCTTTCCTCCACTTTTACTTTCCAGAAGGATCACCAAACATATACACTGCAAGCCGTTCACCCAGCGTTTACCAAGAAATCAAAATGGCTAAAAGAGGGTGTCATGTTCGATTGGGGCGGGAGGGGCTAACCCAATTGGAGACTCGGTGCGTGCTTTAATTCTGAGTAGGGGTTCCTGGGGAAACTGACACATTAGAAACGGAAAGCATGGGAAACTAAGCATTAAACTGCGCCGTGCTGAGGAACGAATGACAGGTAAAGGGATAAAGGAGATAAGACTTATGTAATCAACACAGGTAACTAGTGTGTTGTTCTGTGTGGCTGTTGGGGAAAGAGAGGACTCTTGCCAGAAGAGAGGGTCCAGGAAAACTAAGCCAGCCTGTCAGGTTCAATCTTAAGGAAGATGTATTGCTGTGATTGTTGTAATTAAAAGCTGAACAGTCAATAGCTAGGCAGCAGGACTTCTGGGCAGAGAGAGATCTCTGGGAAGAAAAAAAAAAGCCAGGATAGCCAGCCAGTCGCAAAGAAAGGAGGATGGGCAGTACAGAGCCACGTAACAGAATGTAAATTAAAATGCATGGGTTGCCTGGTGATATTTCATTTGTATTTTAACAAGGAAAGCTTTCCTGAAGATCAGAGAGTAAAACAGCCCCACTGGCCAACCTTACAAACCAGGTAGTGGTGATAAATCTCAGTAGCCATATTAGTTTGCCATAGAAACCCAGCAGTAGTGGTGCATGCCTTTAATCCCAAAACGAAAGAGGAATATAAAACGGGGGGAGGGGCAAAGACAGAAATCACACACAGTCTCATTCTGAGATTCCTGGAGGCAGAATCACCATTCAGAGTGAGGTAGAGGTAAGAGCCAGTGACTGGCTGTTTTGTTTTTCTGACCCCAATATCTGTCTCTGGGTTTTTATTAATCATGGGATGTGGTACACAGTGTGGCGGCGCATGCCTTTAATCCCAATTTAATCTAATAAAACAAAAGTTAGCCAGGTGTTGGTGGCACACGCCTTTAATCCCAGCACTCGGGAGGCAGAGGCAGGTGGGTCTCTATGAGTTTGAGGTCATCCTGGTCTATAAGTGAGTTCTAGGACAGGATCCAAAACTCCACAGAGAAACCCTATCTCAGAAAAAATAAGACATGGATTAATTTAAATTGTAAGAACTAGTTAGGAACAAGCCTAAGCTAAGGCCAAGCTCCCGTAATTAACTATAGGTGTCTGTGACGTTATTTGTGAGAGAAAACCGTCTACAGAGTAATAACCGGAAGGTTATTTCTGGTAGTTTGGGGACATTCTGATGGGAAATGAGTCTGAATCTTCAAATGCCTGGTTCCTGGATTTCCCACAAACTCTTTATCATAGACCCCAGACTGACTATTCCTGGTATCTTCCTGGTGTTGGAGGTGGGTGGGTATATCCCGGGATGGCACACTGCAGTTAACAAGGACAGTTAGCCAGAAGCAGAACTACACAAGCCAAAAAGCAAGGTTAGCACATTCAGAGACTTTCCCAGAACTATGGGCTTTGATGTCAGGTGGTGCTGTCTACATGCTACATGTCTACATGTTTATGACCAGACCCAGAGAGAGCACGCTTTAATCACATTAAACTACAGAGTCCTCAGGACCCAGTTACCTTCCAAAGGTCTCCCCTCTTAAATCCTATTAGCATACAACTTTGGGGATTTAAAATTCCAACAATTGGAAGGGTATTTTGAAATCGTTGAGGAAATGATTTTTGAGTATCTCAGCTTCTGGGATTCGTCCCACCCGTCTCTGGGAAGTTCCACTTCTGTTTCTCAGCTCCCTTCATTGCCACCAACGGTCACTCTACCATTGTGGCCAAACTGGGAGCCTCCATTGGTATTGCACTTCCTCATATAAATGAAATTAATGATCCAGTGTGGTAGGCCTTGCCTTTAATCTCAGTTTGGATCTCTGAGTTTGGAACTCGCTTGGTCTACATACCAAGTTCCAGGCCATCCAGAGCTACATGTGAGACCAGGTCTAATAAAACAAAAATTAGCCGGGCAGTGGTGGTGCACACCTTTAATCCCAGCACTCAGGAGGCAGACACAGGCGGATCTCTGTGAGTTTGGGGCCAGCCTGGTCTACAGAGAAAGTTCTAGGAGATCCAGGGCTGTTACACAGAGAAACCCTGTCTCGAAAAAATAAAAAAGTTTGGCATGGTAACACACATCATTAATCTCAAGGTAGAGACAGGCAGATCTCTGTGAGTTCAAGGCTTAACTATACAAATGCAAAAAAGTAAGAGCAAGCAGAAAAATAAAAACATTTTAAAATGATTTATTGTGTGTATGCATTATGTATGTGTGTGTGGTACGCATGTGTGCATATGCCACAGCATGCATCTGAAGGTCAAAGAACCTTATGGCATAGTTTTCTGTTTCAGGTGAGTCCCAGGGATTGAACTCAGGTTGTCAGGCTGGGCAGCAAACACTTTACACGCTGAGTTCCAGGGATTGAGCTCAGGTTGTCAGGCTGGGCAGCAAACACTTTACACGCTGAGTTCCAGGGATTGAGCTCAGGTTGTCAGGCTGGGCAGCAAACACTTTACACGCTGAGTTCCAGGGATTGAGCTCAGGTTGTCAGGCTGGGCAGCAAACACTTTACACGCTGAGTTCCAGGGATTGAGCTCAGGTTGTCAGGCTGGGCAGCAAACACTTTACACGCTGAGTTCCAGGGATTGAGCTCAGGTTGTCAGGCTGGGCAGCAAACACTTTACACGCTGAGCCATCTTGATAGCTTGGTTAATCATTTCTGAATGAAAAGTTAAAAGAGCTGGTGATTGATTGGTAGACTGTAGCTTTCACTGTATTAAGTGGGATTAATCAATATATCATTTTATTAAGTGTGCTCAATAAAGAGTTCCTAGTTTTTCATCCCAATGGAAGAGAACTTGAGTGTCTGCAGTACAGGGCCCACCTCAAGACCACCCATGTTGCAAGGGCCAAGATTCTCATGCCCATAAGTCTTCTTCTGTTAGGCCCATCCACTTCAGCCCCTACCCCCACCTCTCAACTCCCCACCCCCTTCAGCCCCACCCAACCACTGGCTTTCCCATACCTGTGCACTATCTGAAGAGTCCCGTTAAGGCTGTGGATCTGAGCCAGGCGGTGGGATACACCTCAATCCCAGCACTCAGGAGGCAGAGGCATGCAGCTGCCATGGTCTACAAGAGTTCCTGAGTTCCATACACAAACTCTGTCTCAAAAACAAGCAAACAAAATATGTATATGTTGTGAGGAGCTGCGAGCTGCGTTCCTGCCACCTGGCTCCTGGCCACCAGCTAGCTTATGCCCCGAAATAATTACACGGAAACTGTATTCTTTTAAACACTGCTTAGCCCATTAGTTATAACCTCTTATTGGCTAGCTCTTACATATTGATCTAACCCATTTCTAATATTCTGTGTAGCACCACGAGCTGGCTTACCAGGAAAGATCTTAACCTGCGTCTGTCTGGAGTGGGAGAATCATGACGACTGCCTGACTCGGCTTCTTTCTCCTAGCATTCTGTTCTGTCTACTCCACCTACCTAATTTTCTGTCCTATCAGGCCAAGCAGTTTTCTTTATTAGTTAACCAATGAAAGCAACAGATAAGATACAAGACCCACCTCCATCATGTATACAAATATTTGAGTCTTGTCTGGAGGAAAAACTGTTACAGCTTGGATTTTAGGAGTCTCCCACAAGTCCACACACCACAATGTGTTACTACTGGAAGGTGACGAAAGACTATATTCCAAGAAGTGTCACCTTCAATAACTGGGGTGGCCCTTAAAGGGACAAGGGAGTCTGGGTCTCTTCCCCTCTCTCTCCTTTTGTGTCCTGGTCATAGAGTAAATTCCATCATTATAATCTGCTGCCACTTGGCCCAAACTACTAGATCAATCAATAACAGACAGAACCTCTAGAAGCATGAGTAAGAGATATTTTGTTGACTAGCTATCTCATAATTGTACTAAAGTGTCAACAAGCTAACACAGATCCACAACCTTTTTGTTTGTTTGTTGTTTGTTTTTGTCTTGTAGACCAGGCTGTCCGAGAACTCACAAGGATCCGCCTGCCTCTGCCTCCTGAGTGCTGGGATTAAGGTGTATCCCACTGCCCAATTAATGTTTGCCTACGTTTTAAACTGAAGCCATGCACTGTTTGAAGCTGTCGAGATCTCTAAGGCTGGTCAGACAGCCTAGCCAAATGGGTGAGCCCCAAGCCCATGAGAGACTCCATCTTACAAAATTAAAAACCAACATGGACTCCAGAGGAACGGCACCCA